ACACACCGCCGTCAGTGATGCCGGCAGGCGTTTCCCTGCCACGAACATGGAGGTGTACACTTCGTGGCTCGGTGTCGGAAACGCCGGTGGTACCAGCAGAGGGGTGGAGGGCTGGGACTCCGAGCATCTCGTGTGCGTGGAAGAGCTCGACGACCAGAACGAGGCGAACGAGTCTCCTGCAGGGGGCTCCGGAGTGCGGCAATGGAGGCGGCGAGTTCGTCGATGCGGGCCTGAAGGCGCGAAATCGCTGTGTCTGCTGGTGGTAAGACAGCGTTGACAGATGGGGAGGTCGCTTCATGGACCTGATCGGCGAGCTCCGCCAGGCGGTCGAGATTGACGTCGCCGGCCGCCGCGAGGACGAGGCGGATTGGCTGAGAAAGGCGTTGGAGGAAGAGCTCGCGAAGCAACGCTGAGTGGGCCGAGACGTCGTGTTTCCCAAGAAGCTGTCGCATTCGGCGCAGTAGTTGGGAGGGGCGCCTATCGCCAAGGTCCCCCTCTGCAAGAAGCTGCTGTAGGCGGACGCGTTCCGAAGGCATGAATCGTTCCAGCACCTTAGTTTTAAGGTGCTGATATGGCGTAGTGTCCAAGGGGTTGGAGAGGACGTCGGAGAGCTCGCTGGCAACGTCAGGAGGAAGGACGGACGCTACGTGGTAGTAGCGTGTCGTTTCCGAGGCGATGCGGTACAGAGAGAATTGCGCCTCAACCTGATGAAACCAAACTTGCGGGTCCTGTGGCCAGAAAGATGGGAGACGCAGTTGCACGGCCGAGACGTCCTGCGGACGTGAGGCTTGTTCGGTTGAGGGTGCATTCGAGTCAGTCATTGTCTTCGTCCGAGGTCACCACTTGTAGGCTTATGCCACAGGAGCGAAAGAGAGACACGCCTGAACGATAACCGATGCCAGCCCGGAACGTGAGCCGTGGCTTCACGTGCCACGGCCTAGCGCGTTCTTTATTTTCTTCTGTCGCCATCACGCGCTCTCCGGTTTGCGCGCCGCCCGAACGAGGGCGCTACACATCCATCCATCCATCCATCCATCCATCCATCCATCCATCCATCCATCCATCCATCCATCCATCCATCCATCCATCCATCCATCCATCCATCCATCCATCCATCCATCAATCAATCAATCAATCAATCAATCAATCAATCAATCAATCAATCAATCAATCAATCAATCAATCAATCAATCAATCAATCAATCAATCAATCAATCAATCAATCAATCAATCAATCAATCAATCAATCAATCAATCACTGGTGGATGGATGGATGGATGGATGTTCACACTGCTATTCATAGACATGCATGCATCCATCCATTTATCCACCCATCCATCCATCCATCCATCCATCCATCCGTGCATGCATGTTTATCAATAGCAGTGTGTTGCCGTACTGATGCAAACGCTATCATTCAATTCCAGCTTCGCCTATGCAGTTCGCACAGGATGTTTCTTCTGACGCACCACCGAGTAAGTGCTGATCTATCTATCTATCTATCTATCTATCTATCTATCTATCTATCTATCTATCTATCTATCTATCTATCTATCTATCTATCTATCTATCTATCTATCTATCTATCTATCTATCTATCTATCTATCTATCTATCTATCTATCTATCTATCTATCTATCTATCAATCTATCTATCTATCTATCTATCTATCTGTCTGTCTGTCTGTCTGTCTGTCTGTCTGTCTGTCTGTCTGTCTGTCTGTCTGTCTATCTATCTATCTATCTATCTATCTATCTATCTATCTATCTATCTATCTATCTATCTATCTATCTATCTATCTATCTATCTATCTATCTATCTATCTATCTATCTATCTATCTATCTATCTATCTGTCTGTCTGTCTGTCTGTCTGTCTGTCTGTCTGTCTGTCTGTCTGTCTGTCTGTCTGTTTGTCTGTCTAAAACGCGTACACGAGTAAGCGCAAGGTGGACTGTTTATAGAGAGCACTTGATAGGATCGCATTTCGAACGTGCCAGCGATTTCTATGATTGACTGATATGTGGGGTTTAACGTCCCAAAACCACCATATGATTATGAGAGACGCCGTAGTGGAGGGCTCCGGAAATTTAGACCACCTGGTATTAAAGGCAAAGCAAGTCCACATGCGAGACATAGAAGCTCTTAACGAATCGAAAGGTGATTTTGCTCTGAGTCAGAGTAGATGCATCAGAGATAAATGCAGTCATAGATGAATGCTCAAAATAACTATTGTTACATCACCTACAAACCAGTGTTTTTTGTATCGTTTTTCAGCTGCCAGGCAGATGGAGGAGACATTCGAAGGTAGTAAAATCTTTCAATGACCCATTCATAGAGTGACACCCGTGAATAAACGTCTTCTTAATAGCAAAAAATTGTCCCGCTTCAATTTAACAGTTAAACTGCATAACGAGAGTAAAGATAATGACCAGTTAACTGTCAGAATAACATTTGAAAATTAACTTCATTGAAAGGTCATGAGCACTTGAGATCATTGCGGCACCTGGCGGAACAGGTTTCAACCACGCTCTATTTTCTACGTGGCCTCCGAGATTCGTTTCGGCAAACTGGCGCGAAATGGATAGTTCTAGTTCGCGTTATTGAATAGTCATATGAACGCGGCCGCTTACGCGTCAATGAACAGTTAATGTTCAAGCTAATGAAAAGGGCCGCTGGCGCGTGTGCAAAAAATGAGACGAGACTGCGCGTTCAAAACTTGATCGCAACGCTGAAAAACCTTATGCGAGACAAACATGTCTTTGCGTCATGTGCCACGTTCCTCTTCAAGTACGCACAATCACCCCTTAGCACTAATCGTTGCTTGTCTGTTTGCAGAACCACCAAGGCACCGAAAACAGCTGGTGACCTATCGTAAGTGCAGCCCGACCAGGACGTTGGCTAGCGAGTTTGATGCGATATTGAGTGCTCACGAAGTCCGCGAATACCAGACAGGCACCAATTGTAAATGTTGTATGTGATGTTGTTGCTAAGCTGACATTTAACCAGTAAGGCATTTGAATAGTTTCACTCCACGAATACAGAAAATACGAAAAGAAAGTCGACTGCACAGCCTCCGCCGGAACTGAGATAGAGAGGCATTGTACTAAGAAACAGGGGACTAAATCTATCTATCTATCTATCTATCTATCTATCTATCTATCTATCTATCTATCTATCTATCTATCTATCTATCTATCTATCTATCTATCTATCTATCTATCTATCTATCTATCTATCTATCTATCTATCTATCTATCTATCTATCTATCTATCTATCTATCTATCTATCTATCTATCTATCTATCTATCTATCTATCTATCTATCTATCTATCTATCTATCTATCTATCTATCTATCTATCTATCTATCTATCTATCTATCTATCTTTACCTTGCCTTGTGTTCGCGTACACATATCGAATTTGAGACCTGTCTGCAGACGACTCCCCGATACGCGTGACGCCCAACGTGCTGCTGTGTGCCACCAATGGCCGCGGAGCAGACAAACTGGCTGCATCTCTGGACACCTACTGCACGCACGTCATCTACAACGGACCGCTGGCCATGGAACACTCCACATCCAGCGGAAAGCTACAGGTGCAGGTCCGAGGTACGACCGATAGTGATAGGCGTTGCTTCTCGTTAAATCCAGCGTTCTCAAGACTTCTTACCATCATAATATACTTATAGCCACGCCTTCAGTTTGGTTTTTCTAACTGCACGATGCCGTAATCAGAATGTAAAGCTCTTTCCATAATTATTGACTTACTACATGTTTGAAAACAGAGGTAGGAGCTGTTGACCCACTGAGATGCATGGAACGACGCAGCGACACGTTGGCTCCGCCCAGCCTAAAGCTCGCTGCCCTTCATGATGACGTGAGAACTGGCGTGGCAGCCGAGAAGCGGCCTCCAAGCACTGCGCAACGGGGAGCCTACAGCCTTTCGCATAGTCACGGGATCAGAAATGGTTGAGGGGAGCTTTGGGCTGGGCAGAGTTTGCGCGTCGCTACAAGCGCTCCAGTATGCTGACGGCACCTACCGCTGTTCACAAACGTGCAGTAGGTATATAATGAGGGCTCGCCTTGCAGACCGCGAGGGTTACCGGTTGTTCAGCAGCCTGAGCCGGAACCACGAGCGGTACCTGTCGTTTCGGTGGGGCGCCGGTACCTGGAATGAGGGCGACGTCCTGCAGGCGCTGGTCGCGCACCTGCGCCTCGAGCGGCTCCGTGGCGTAGAGATGGTCATGGCCAGCCACATGCACAGGACCAGGTTCATCAGGTTCTGCCAGGTGAGCAGCGGGGTGAAAGTGCCGAGACGCATTGCCGACAACTTTAGAATGACTTGCCATGAGAGCGAGAACCTGTGATGTCACAAGTAGGCCAACCCAGTCGCAGAACACAATAAGATACCGTTTTTGTTATTCCTCGTGTCACCGCATTCTTTTACTAACGCGAACTTGTGCTTTCACGACGTTTGTCTACCGGCACGCAGGGGCGTAATAGTTTGAACCGACTTCATGGAAAACCGCAAAGTACGTCGTGACATACGGAAGGACACAGTGAAAACTGTCAACTATGTTGTAAATTTCCACCGAGCGAAAGTAGAACGTATTACACATTCACATTGTCAGCCAGCAGCAGTCCTTCGTATGTCAAGACAGATTACGAACTAACTCTGACCAGCTGAAAAGATGTTGCGCACTCGAGTGCGCCAGCTGTGTCGACACACCATTATAGCATTTCCGTCAAAGGAGCCGGAATTCTTGAGTTGAAGCCTTTTGCAACCTGTCTTAAAGTATGCCTGCCTTCTCTCCTTGCTGTATTAACGACCAAGACATTTGCCGAAACATCGGCTGCTGCGATAGCCCCCGTTCAAAAATATTCATCCGACATATAAGCTTAGTTAGCTTAAGGTAATATTGCTTAGCTGAAGTAATGCTCTGGCGTTGGAGCCGAACGTGAAGCTCGCTCAAATTCCTTCCAATTGTGCAGAACTTTGTGCACAAGATGAAGAACAACGATAGCCTCATCATCAAGGTGCAGAGGACGGTGGAGCTCACAAAGGGCCTCTTCGAAAGGCTGGCTAGGCAAGTAACAGAAAGCGATACGTTGTTGAAAAAATTGCTCGCCCAAGAAACGGTGCGAAGAAAAAATACCCGTGACGAGCAAGACCGTAATACCGTAATGATATTATCCTCACAGCCACGAAAAACTGGAATCGTTAACGTTTAGTGTTATCACTTGTATGCTCATGGAAAAATCTGTGCAATGCGAAGCGTACCCTAAAAGAAATAACCCCGAAGTTGATTGCATGCTGGCCCTAACCCGGGCACAAAGCGCAAGAAACAATATATGTATCGGATTAATCGCAAACCAATATGGATTACTCTTGCACATAAAAAAAACACAAACTCGATCCTGTCGTTTGACCCACCTCCCTTCCTCTATACCATTGAATCGAAATTGCACCATTGACGTGTACCAATGGACGTCATCACCATATCAGTTATCTAATACAATAACTACTAAAAATTGTTCAACATATAATTTTTTCTTATGGACCTCGAATAAAAGAATATTTAAGGCTTTCTCTTACATTCTCGGATATCTTATAAATGTCATCGCATTATGTTCAGTTCTTCAGCGTATTGTATGCGTTCGGGTTCATGTTACATAGAAGTGTGGCAGCTTCGGCTAGTTGGTATGGCATGACGATAGTTATAGCGCGAAAACAAAACGACGACACAGAGACAAGAAGGACACGAAAGACACGAGCGCTCGTGTCTTTCGTGTCCTTCTTGTCTCTATGTCGTCGTTTTGTTTTCGCGCTATAACTATCGTTCATGCTACAGTTTGAATGCGTTAAAGTGGACGTTATTGAAATATGTGTCCTGCCACTATTATTTTTCCTCGTATTGTGAAACACGTATTTCGTGCATGTCCAACGTCGACTGGAGCAGTAGTCTCTTCAGAGCACACGACCTCGAGTTTTGCTCCTCTTACTGTAGGAGGCAGAAATACGTCTCATATTTCAGACTAATAATATTAATAAAACTTTAATGATACGACATGTAGAGAGAATAAAAGATCGTACTCGAATAAAACTGTGTTCTTTCATAAGACACAAAATAAAATGCGCGTGCTCCCGTGCTTCCAGCATTCCACTGTTCCTGGTACTGGAGACCCAGGTGGCGCAGATGACGGACATGACGACCAAGCGGTACCCCAACCCGTACCAGCCATTTGCCGGGTCGCACAACAGGGACGTGTACATGGTACGCGACTCAGTCGATGACGTCACTTGCTCTTGCTCTATGTGGGCAATTTCTTGAGAAGAAAAAAAGAAACACCATGGTTCAGCACAGCCACAGCATACGACGGAGAAACGGTCATTACAGAGGGCGTGCTAAACTTTTATCAGGGCAGTTACAGCCCGTAGTGTGCCGAGGAACTCGGCACACCATGAATCATCACATTTTTAAAGTATAGCGAAGTACGCACGACGCGCTTCTGTACGCGCTATGATGTCACTGCATGCCTCGTTCTTGCCGCAGCGAATACGCGCATACACTCAAACGCACGCACGAATAATACGTAAAGCACGGTTGAAGCCCGCGAGGCGAATTCTGTCGCGCTGCCTGGAAAACCGAATGCCGCTAGGTGCCAGCGCCTTAAAACGTGTGTTCTATGAAGCGCGAGGCACTAACAGAATCGGTACCGTATTCGGAGGCAAAGAAAAATGACCACAGACTGGCAGAAAGAATGGTGTCATGTTTTGCAAGCCATTATAAACAAGATGACCGGGTAAGGTGAAATCAATCCGGGCATTGTTACAGCGACGTGCCTTCTGTAAGACGCCAGAGCTCGTTGAATCGAGAAAGTCGATGGAACTATATTAAAGACGCCTGTATGTTGATTGTTGCGAACGATGACCATCGAATGTTAATAAGCGAGCAACGGCCTCCGAATAATAATCAGTGAAAAAAACGTCTACACCAGGATGTCTACTACCACACTCGTGAGGTTGTCTCGGTCTAAATGAGACTGTTTACGTATACCTGTAAAATATCGTAACAGGACTGTAACAAGATTTGGAAATATTCTAACAAGATATTTTAACAAGAAATATTGTGACAAGGCGCGCGTGCCTTGTTTACTCTGTCCGTGTGTGGTGGCGCTGCAGTTCCATTATGCTGTAAAGTATTGGTTGAAAAAATCGCAGCCCTATAGCACTCTGTACCGGCTGTTGACCGGCGAAGCTGAAGCGTTCGGCCCCACTGTCTATCACGGGCTTAAACCGGAAGGTTCACTGACGTCATTTCCAGTCACTGGCTACGCCTGTCAAGAAATCATAACTGGCGCTTGCGAACCGCTTGCACCCGTCACTATTGGTGGAGCGGCCGTGACAGCGGGATTTTTTTTTTCAATTTCCGGCAGCGATGTGCTAGTTTTTTTTTGCGCCAATAGAGCAGACAGATTTTGGTTCCGCGTAGTGAGGCTAAAGAAGTGGCACGAAACCCGAGTCACCTACGTCACTTATGATTTCATACTGTGACGTCATAGCAACGTCATAAAGCGTATGAGTTTGTGTCATCATGACATCATCTTGGCGTTACATTACACGACGTCGTATTAGGACGTAATTGTGTCGTGGTGTGGTCACTTGGTCACGGGTGTGGCTATCCCAGAGGTAGTACGACTCCACGTGAGGGGCAGGAAACTTGAGGATAAAAGGAACAACGCAATCGACTAAACGCTTAAAGTAAATCAATGCGGGCTTCCTAAAGTGTGCCTTGAAAGAAATACGTACCCCCTGATTGGTTAACCAAATGCTTTATAAATGGGCAGCAGGCCTTCTGTGTTTTACAATTAAGAATGTAACATATTGACGGGTTAGGGGGAGACAGAAGGTTAGGTGGGCAGATGAGATTAAGAAGTTTGCGGGTACAAGGCGCAGCAGCAAGCACAGGACCGGGTTAACTGGTGGAACATGGGAGAGGCCTTTGTCCTGCAGTGGACGTAGTCAAGCTAATGAAGATGATGATGATTATGATGACGATGATGATGATGATGATGATGATGATATTGACAGCAGTTTCTGATCTCGCGCATGCAGCGGTACCGGCTGTGGAGGGTGCACCCTTGGCGTCGCCAGCTGCGCCTAAACAACGTTTGTTTCACGCTCTCCTTCACGGTGATCAAGGCGCAAAAGGGAGCCACGAAGAACAGCATGCTCGCCTACTCCTACACCGGCCTCAAGGAGGTACGTTAACTCCTCTCCCTTCGGTGATCATTATCGCAGAACCGAAACCACCATCTCGCGTGCCGCTGAACGACTGTCAGCCTCTTTGTATAACTGTTCGAACCCGGTTAGTTTTCAAATGTTCACAAGTACGAACGCATGATCCTCACAAAGAACAAAAATTTTTTCTATTAGGAGTTTTAACAGACCGCCTGCACACTTATCATAAACGCCAGCTACAAATGCTCTTGTAGATAGGTTATATGCAGTCAAAGGCGAGGCTACAAAACCACAAGGAAACACTGGAGTCGGGACATTGCTTCTGCCAGTTTCTAGAAATATGAACTATGTGACAATGTCCTCTTGTGTTTCAGCCACCATTTTTTCTAAGACCTACGGCGTATGTATTAAGAAAAGTCACATTTCCTCTGAAAGGGTAATGAATTCAATAGCAACAAAAGGAATGTTATGCAATGCAATGCTAACAGCTGAGGTGCTTTCTGAGCGGCTTTCTAGCTACATATTGTCACGATGAGTCAGAAGTACTGGGGGATTTATTGAATGACCGGGTAGCTAGCTCTAGGACGATGCGTCAGTCGTGGCTGGCTCTCGAGCAGAGAAGAAGGCACGCGATCTTCGTGCCAATATAAGAAACGTCAATGAACGAGAAAGCAAGTTCACACAAATAAACTAAAACACAAAGAATGCTGTACGGTAAAGGAAAAGTTACGAGCAACGCGCAATAAATGGTTTCATGCGCAACACATGAACCACGTCCGGCCTCAGCCGTGTCCTGCTCCGGGCATGGCGGGTTGAGTCCGGAACCACTTCGTAGTTCACGTCACTGACGCGGCGTAACACTTTATATGGGCCAAAGTACCGGCTCAGCAACTTTTCACTAAGGCCACAGCGGCGGACGGGCGTCCACACCCAAACTTGATCTCCGGGGCTGTAAAACACTTCTCTGTGGCGGGTATTATAGCGTTGTGCGTCTGCCTGCTGTTGCTGGCCGATGTACAGTCTCGCGAGCTGCCGGGCTTCCTCAGCACGCTCTGCGAATTCTTCGGCGTCAGTTGCCAACTCGTTTTCGTCTTGACACGGTAGCATAGAGTCTAGCATGGTCTGCACTTCGCGGCCGCAGAGAAGCCGAAATGGTGTGAATCGCGTGGTCTCTTGCACGGCGGTATTATACGCGAAGGTCACGTAAGGTAAGGTCCGGTCCCATGTTTTGTGCTGTACGTCGATGTACATTGAGATCATGTCTGCGAGGGTCTTATTCAGTCGCTCGGTAAGCCCGTTGGTTTGCGGGTGGTACGCAGTTGTCCTTCGGTGTCTGGTGTTGCTCAGTTTGAAAACTTCGTCCGTAAGCTGCGCCGTGAATGCCGTCCCTCTGTCCGTTATTATACTGGAAGGAGCACCGTGTCGTAACACGATGTGGCGCATGAAAAATTGTGCTACCTCAGAAGCCGTGGCTCGTGGGATCGCCTGGGTTTCAGCGTAGCGTGTCAAATAGTCGGTCGTGACGATCACCCATTTGTTGCTGTCCGCAGACAGGGGAAATGGCCCGAGAATGTCCATGCCGACCTGGTCGAATGGCGCGCAACGTGCTTCAATGGGCTGAAGCAAACCAGCTGGCTTAACAGATGGTTGCTTTCGGCGCTGACATTCCCGACAGCTCTTGACGTACTTCTTGACGCTTGCCGAAAGTCCTGGCCAATAGTACCTCTCACTCACTCTGGCAAGTGTCCGTGAGTAGCCCAGATGACCGGATGTGGGTTCGTCATGGCAAGCGAAGAGGACGTCGTCTCGCATGTCTCGAGGAACCACCAGAAGGTAGGCACGGTTGTTCGAACGAGCGTTCTTCTTGTACAGCACACCATCTCGAAGGCAGAACGACGGCAACGAGCGGAATAAATGACGTTATATGATTGTGTCCTGGCCCTCTAAATGATCGATGATCGGACGAATCTCTGCGTCATCCCGCTGCCGTTTACGCAAGTCTGATGAGCTAATGGCGCCCAGGAAGCCTTCGTCTTCCTCTGACGACATGAAGGGGTGCGCGTGACAGTGTTTCAGCGTCTTCATGCTTACGGCCGGACTTATGGACAATGGTGACGTCTAATTCCTGCAGCCGCAAGCTCCACCGTGCTAGCCGTCCTGAAGGGTCGCGCAGGCTTGCCAACCAGCAGAGGGTGTGGTGGTCCGTCACTATCTTGAAGGGACGACCATAGAGGTACGGGCGGAACTTGGTGATTGCCCACACGAATGTGAGGCACTCTTTCTCCGTAGTGGAATAATTCGCCTCGGCACGGGATAGAGAGCGGCTGGCGTAGGCTATCACTCTTTCGATGTCCTCTTAACGCTGAACGAGCACTGCACCGAGCCCAATGTTACTAGCGTCGGTATGGACCTCCGTGTCAGCATCATCGTCGAAAGGAGCGAGAACGGGCGCTGATTGCATCTGCTGTTGCAGCTCATCAAAAGCTGCTTGTTGCTCGTTTTCCCAGACAAACGGCGTGTCGTCCCTTGTGAGACGAGTCAGAGGTTCTGCTATCTGTGAAAAGCCTTGAATTAATCGGCGATAGTAGGCGCACAAACCAAGGAAGCGCCGGACGGCTTTCTTATCAACAGGAGCTGGTAATTCGGCAACAGCGGCAAGCTTGTCCGGATCGGGACGGATTCCTTCAGCGCTAACTACATGTCCAAGAAATTTTAGTTCTTTATAGCCGAAGTGGCACTTCTGTGGCTTTAGTGTGAGGTCCGCCGATCGGATAGCCTCCAGCACGCTGCGCAGGCGCTGCAGGTGCTGCTCGAACGTGGCAGAGAAGACCACCACATCATCAAGGTAGACAAGACAAGTCTGCCACGTCAGCCCTGTGAGGACAGTGTCCATCATTCGCTGGAAAGTTGCCGGCGCTGAACACAAGCCGAAAGGGAGTACTCGAAATTGGTATAGGCTGTCTTTTCGCGGTCTCGCTGATCTACCTCAATTTGCCAGTACCCGCTTTTGAGATCGAGAGAAGTGAAATAATGGGCACGACGAACTCTATCTAGCGAATCGTCGATACGCGGTAGCGGGTACACATCCTTTTTGGTCACGTTGTTAAGCTTTCGGTAATCGACGCAGAAGCGTAGCGTCCCGTCCTTCTTTTTGACAAGCACGACTGGAGATGACCACGGGCTGATGGATAGTTCGATAACGCCATCGTCAAGCATCTCGCAAACTTGCGTACGTATCGCTTCACGTTCTTTAGCCGACACGCGGTAGGGGTGCTGGTGTATTGGGCGTGCGTCCTCGTACGTGATGATCCTGTGTTGAGCGATGGACGTCTGGCGGATCTTTGAGCAACTTGCGAAGCAAGACCTGTACTCGAACAAGAGCGCTCGCAGCGCAGTCTGGTTATCGGTGGACAGATCAGGATTGATGTCAATGTTGCTCATTGATGTGTCTGCGTTATCCACTATTTCTGACGTGAGACAGTTGGTTACGTTTGCTACTTCGTGGGCAAACGCTATCGAAGTGCCACGGAAAAGGTGTCGATGCTCGTTGCTAAAGTTGGTAACGAGCAATTCAGATCGGCCGTCACGAACGTGTATTACACTTCTCGCTACACATATGACTTGCTGCAGGAGGTGTTCTAAATTTGTCTCGGCCACCACATCGCCATCGCTCAAACCACAGCATGTTACGTCGACTAGAACACTGGCTCGGGGAGGAAGCGTCACGCTCTGTTCAGAAATACGGAGTACGTCGACACACATTCCGTCATCCTGCACGTTGATTGCTCGCTGGGCTGAGAACGTGACGCGGCGCTCTTGCAGATCAATGATAGCTCCATTTTCCTGTAGAAAATCAACTCCCAGAATGACGTCACGGGAGCATTCACGTAGAACAAGGCAGCTTGCTACGAATGTGTACCCTTGAATATGTACTCTAGTTGTGCAGGCGCCCAGTGGAGTAACGACATGTCCACCAGCTGTCCGAATCTGCGAGTCATGCCACGGCGTGATTACTTTCTTCAGCTGCGTTGTCAGTTTCTCGCTCAGTATGGAATAGTCTGCGCCGGTGTCGTCCACTAACGCATTAACTACACAACCATCAATTGTTACTGCCATGTCGAGTGAAAACCGGCTATTCTTTGCAGCAGCAGGTGATGTCGGACCAGTTTCTGTACGGTTCTGCGTCAATAGGAGGTCTTCAGCGCTTCGACGTTCAGCGACCCCGCCCCCAGAGGTCGCTTCGGCTAGTTTTTCCGGCGGAGGCTGAAAGATCGTGCGGTAGAATACCGCTGGGGCGTTGATGAAAATCGCCTCGGTGATGGCGAGCGCGACTGGCGCCCGGCAGACGGTGGTGCATGCTGCTGGGAGAGGTAGTTTTGGATGTCGCATGGTCTCTGACTGTAACGGGGTGGCGGCGAGTACGCAGAGAAGCCGGCGAAGCCCAAGACGGCGATAAGGGCACTGGCGGTACAAGTGATCAGCTTCTCCGCAGTGAAAGCATAGAGGCCGATGATCGGGTGTGCGCCAGACATCAGACTTCCGAGGAGACGAGTGGCGATCGTCGATGTACTGGACCGGTTGCACCGAATGATGGGCGACAGAAGCACCACGGACAAAGGGCAGGGGCGGTGGTGTGTACGTGCCTTTGTAGTATGGTATGTGCTGCGCTGACTCGAGTGAAACTGCCGGGACAAGATGAACGAACAATGGCGGCGATGCAGCAGGGCATTTCAAGGCTTCCGCGTAGGTTGTCCCACGGTGGTATTCAGCAGGAGCTGACGTAGCTGTATCAGGAGGCAAGGTGTCCCGGAGGGCCTGGTGCAGCTCATCCTTGATCACAGTTGCAATAGAGCTAACCGTAGGATGAGGTGTTACACCAGCCTTTTGCAACTCTTCACGTACGATATTACGGATGAGTTCACGTAAGGAGTCATTGCTGGTCCCAGCGGCGGCGAAAATGTCAGCAGTGGACATGCCACTGACTTGCCTGTCGTATTGGTTTGATCGCTGCTGTAGCATTTTTTCCATTGTCACGGCTTCAGACAAGAACTCCGCGACCGTCTTCGGAGGGCTTCGCACGAGGCCGGCGGAAAGCTGGTCCTTGACACCGCGCATCAAGTGACGCAACTTCTTGTCCTCCGTCATACTTGAATCTGCCCGTCGGAAGAGACGCGTCATGTCTTCGACGTACGCGGTCACAGTTTCGTTTGGCGACTGGACGCGGGCAAGAATAGCTCGTTCAGCTCTTTCTTGGCGGTCAGCGCTGGCATATGTCTGCAGTAGTAGTCTACGAGAGAATTTGGGCCACGTCGTCAGCAGCTCCTCTCGATTTTGATACTACGTGCGAGCCCCGTCTTCGAGATAGAAGTAGACAGGACCCAGTTTCGCCGCGTCGTCCCACTGATTAAAGTTGGCTACGCGCTCGAAGTCCGCCAACCAGTCCTCAACGTCTTCGCGCTCCGCACCATGGAACGTCGTCGGTGCCCGTGGGCTTTCCAACGTATAGCGGTTCGACGACGTGCTTCCCGTGCCGGTTGGCAAGGTTTGTACCGAAGTGCTGGTCATGTTTGTTGACGTGGTGGGAGCAGTATCGTTGACTTCCGGAGACAATCCCCTGATTCGACGGCTGGTCCGATGCACGGGAGTATTGACTGGCACTGGACTCGTATTACGGCTTCCTGGGGGGGGGGGGGGGTCTGCAGCATCCGTGAGACTACCCAGCACCTTCCACCAGTTTGTCACGATGAGTCAGAAGTACTGGGGGATTTATTGAGTGACCGGGTAGCTAGCTCTAGGACGATGCGTCAGTCGTGGCTGGCTCTCGAGCAGAGACGAAGGCACGCGATCTTCTTTTTCCTCCAGATTGAGAGCCGCTCTTGCTGTCGACCCACTACGCGCTGGTGGCAATATGTCAGTTGTAAGCGCCTAATTTAGCTTGTATGAACCTAAGAATGGAAAGAGCTAGGAATACGACCTAATGAATATTAGCCAGTTTCTAGAAATATAAACTATGTGACAATGTCCTCTTGCGTTTAAGCCACCATTTTTTCTCTAAGACCTACGGCGTATGAAATAAGAAAAGTCTCATTTCCTCTGAAAGGGTAATGAATGCGATAGCAGCAAAAGGAATGTTATGCAATGAAATGCTAACAGCTTAGGTGCTTGCTGAGGTGCTTTATAGCCACATATGTCAGCTGTAGGTACCTAATTTAGCTTGTATGAACCTAAGAATGGAAAGAGCTAGGAATACGACCTAATGACAATGTCCTCTTGTGTTTAAGCCACCATTTTTTCTTTAAGACCTACGGCGTATGTATTAAGAAAAGTCACATTTCCTCTGAAAGGCTAATGAATGCGATAGCAACAAAAGGAATGTTATGCAATGAAATGCTAACAGCTGAGGTGCGTGCCGAGTTGCTTTATAGCTACATATGTCAGTTGTACGCACTTAATTTAGCTTGTATGAGCCTAAGAATGGGAAGAGTTAAGAATACGAGCTAATGAATATTAACCTGTGCTTCGCCGATTACATTGCATTGCTGAGTAACTCAGGGGACGAACTGCGAATCGTGATTCCTGAATGAGACAACGAGAGGAGAAAAGTAGGTCTTAAAATTAATCTACAGAGAACGAAAGTAACGTATAACAACCTTGAAAGAAAACAGTGCTTCGCGATAGGTATTGGGGCCCTTGAAGTTGTAAAAGAATACGTCTACTGAGGACAGGTAGTAACCGCGGAGCCGAACCACGAAATTTAAGTAACTAGAAGAATAAAAATGCGGTGTATAGCACATTCCGCAAACAATTTTAAATCATGAAAGGTAGATTGCCACTATCCCCCAAGAAGAATGTGTATAACAGCTGCATATTACCGGTACTTGACTACGGAGCAGAAACCTGGAGAGAAAAGTGTATCAGGGAACAAACGTGTGTTAAGGACATCATAGTCGAAATCATGAAGAACAAACGATTATGGGCAGGGCACGCAGCGCGAAGGCAGGATAACCGCTGGGCATTAGTGATCACAGACTTGATTCCAAGTGAAGGCAAGCAGGTGAATAGAAGACAGAAAGTAAGGCGGGCAGATAAGATTAGGAAGTTTGCGGGTATGAAGTGGCAGCAGCAAACACAGGACCGAGTTGACTGGCGGAAAATGGGAGAGGCCATTGTCTTGCAGTGGGCGCGTCAGGCTGATCATGATGATGATGAATTTATACGTGTTAGGTTCATTGAAGTCATAACTGACGCTTGTGAATCGCGTGCACCCGTCACTATTGGTGGAGCGGCCGTGATAGCATTTTTTTCCAATTTTTGTTGCAGCTATGCGCTACGAGCTCATGAGGACAATATTAGGGACTCTTTATGCGCTCTATGCTTTATGCGGAAAGAAAAATGGTAGGTGTAACCTTAAGAGACAAGAAGAGAGCAGAGTGGATTAGGGGACAAACGGGGGTTAAGGATATCATAGTTGAAATAAAGAGAAAATGGACATGGGCCGGGCATGTAGCGCGTAGACGGGATAACCGCTGGTCATTAAGGGTAACTAACTGGATTCCCAGAGAAGGGAAGCGGGTTAGGGGGAGACAGAAGGTTAGGTGGGCAGACGAGATTAAGAAGTTTGCGGGTATAAATTGGCAGCAGCAAGCACAGGACCGGGTTAACTGGCGGAACATGGGAGATGACTTTGTCCTGCAGTGGACGTAGTCAGGCTGATGATGATGATGATATGCGCTCTTTATGCATCCGTAGCATTAGTATGCGTTTATTTGTGTTCAGTGTGATTTCGCAGCAAATGAACCATTCAAGAATATTATTTAAAAAAAAACTGATGTGATACATGACAGAATATTTTTTTTTCATAAGCACGCAATCATCAGAAAATAATCCAATTTGCACGGCTTTTTCAACCATATTAGCAATGTCGGTAATATATATATGAAAAGAAGGAAGTCGAGGACACTGCCCATGCTGTATATATCTGATACTCGACAACACACCTGGAAGGCAGTTCAATCGTGTACCATTAATTTCTACGAATCGATTACTTTTAGACGAACTTGCAGCAAAAAAAAAAAAGAGATCAGCATTCCAAGAATTTCTTCATTTTCAAGTTTAATAATTTGAAACTTGACATTGCTCAAAGGGACAGTATTGTACCAAGCACGCTACTGCTTCGTCTTCAATCTTCCATCTATTGTTGAGCATGTTGTTTTTCGCAGTCGACTTATAGAGAGGGGGAGGAGACGCCGAGACGAAACTTCCTCCCCCCCTCCACCTCTCATGGGGAACAATAAGCATGCATATTTATTCATTTATTCATGTACCCTAAAGGCCCGAGGGCATTACATAGGGGGGGGGGGTAATAGTATACATATATAGAAACTAACACGAACAATAAAGTAATAAGATGTATGAAAAAGTAAATAACAACGTATAAATAATTTACAAAATCGCAGGAAATTGATTGTGAAGACAAAAGTACACTAAAAAGGAAGGCGTATCAAAAGAACAAGTGAGGCTGAACATTTATATGCCAAACAATGCAGATCATAGTAAAATAAGCGAGTTATACAGCGTGCTAAAAACCGTTATATAAGCACGTGTACATCTGGGTCGGTTGTATAGGTCATTCAAACACCAAGATGAAGCTTTAATTTGTGAGTGAATTCTTCGTGGTTTTTTATACAGACAATATCGTTGGGAAGTTGATTCCAGTGATTAACAGCAAGAAGTAATTGTGAATGTAAAAACAGGTTTGTTCGGGCAAATAAAGGTTCTAATTTGAATTTGTGGTCCCGACGAGCGAATATTCTATGAGCAGGTATAATAAGTGCAGACAGTTGCGAATGGTTATGGTATAGATTGTGAAAAAGAGACAGAAGGGAGAACAGTCTGCGTGACTGTAGAGACGGCAAATTTAGAGACTTTTTTAATTTCATTTATGCGAGAAGTTCGAGCATATATCTTTGTTATGAACCGGGTACTTTTGTTTTGAAGAGACTCTATTTTATTTATGAGGTAAACCTGGTGAGGGTTCCATATTTGGGAAGCATAGTCAAGCTTAGAGCGGACTAGTGTATTGTACGCTAAAAGTTTAGTATCAGAATTGGCGAAATATAAGTTACGTCTGATGAATCCCAGTGTCTTATAAGCGTTGCTAGTGAAAGTGTCAATGTGCAAGTTCCATGATAGGTCACTCGTTAAGTGAACTCCTAAATACTTAAAATTGAGAACATTTTCAACTTGTTTCTCATTCTATGTGTAGTGATTAGTTATTGGTGTCTGTTTTGTAGTAAATGAAAGGACCTTTGTTTTGCTCACGTTGACTTCCATCTGCCAGTCTTGGCACCACTTACCTAATATGTTAAGATCGTTCTGCAAATTATAAGCATCTTCACAGCTAACCACCTTTCTATATATCACGCAGTCATCGGCGAATAACCTCACCGTAGAAGTCATAGAAGTAGCTATATCATTAATGTAAATTAGAAACAGAATCGGCCCCAGTACAGATCCTTGAGGCACTCCCGATTTACGTGGTGATATAAGGTGAACAGGACGGCAAAAATGCACCGGGAGTGTCCACGTTACTGGGGACCCAATTACATTATTCATTGCGTAAGATTTGTTCCCTATCGGGATGCCAGAAAACATCCACTTGGTTGTGAGCAACCTGGTCGAACTGCTGGCTTCAAATGACATTACGCAAGAAAGAATGGCAGTTTGCGATAGTGCCATGCTCGCGATAACACGTATCAGCTTCGTCATTCCCTTCCTGACAGGTTTGCCAGCAGAGGTCTATGGAGATGGGCGTGGACTGGAAGGCCTTGTCACGGTTCAGAGAGAACCGGACAGTCTTCTACGCATACGATAACAAGCAGACTATCACTAACAAGGTACGTACGTGCCTCAAACTGGGATTGGGTGCATTGTTTTATATGCAGACTATAGAATACCGCATACGAGCTGCTGCGGTTCAGGGGGGCTGAAGTTAGGCGGGTCGATGAGATTAAGAAGCTGGCGGGTACAACGTAACAGCAGCAAGCAAAAGACCTGGTGGATTGTTGAAAGGTGGGAGAGGCCTTTGTTCTGTATGGGACGTAGCCAGGCTGGTGATATTGATCATGATGCTCGTGGTTCTCGCGAGAGAAGCTTTGGCAGCGCGTCACAAGCGATGACATTTACTGATGGGCTCAACATACTGTCATGCTTACCCTCGAATTTTCTTACATGGAACTTCCTACCAAAACTCCGGTGGGCAAGTGTGGCTATGCGACCGTTAATATATGACATTTCAAGAACGGCAGTCTTTCCGTGGAAGATGCAGGCTGGAAGAAATGAAGGAACACTTATGTCGGGGTGTGTCGCTGGAGTCGGCGTTTCTGCGAGCTCTTCGAGGCAATAACTGCCTTGCACTTGCAGCCTCAAAGAGAAATCAAGACTTGTAATGTCGGCCAGTATAATAATCATCCAAAATAATATTCATGGGTTTGCTACCCTTCATTCTCATGCTCGCTGAAGCGCCGTGCGTTGCAGCTTCCATAAACACTAGCGCCAGAGTTCCTTCTAGTGCATCTATAGTAAATATTACGATGCCAAGACTTGCAATGCCGCTGACCCTGGAAGCAGTGCATAAACACATTAGATTCAGAAAGCTTTGGCCGAACGCGGCATGAGGGATCAATACACCAATTTTGAAGATGAAGCCTCTTACCTTAGATTCATACTATTGGCAAAAGCGTAAGGGGGCGTGTTACTTCTTTTCTTTCAGCTATGGCGGCTGGCTCACGAGTTCCCGCGCTACTGCGTTGCGCTGTACGACGTGGAGCGGGACGACTTCGAGGACACCTGTCCGAGAAAGAGCGTACCGCTGCTGCGCGTCGTCCGCAAGCTGGTCACGGCCACGGCCCAGACGAGGCTGCTGTGAGCCACCGCTGTTCGTGCACACCGTTTCTCCCCTATGCGGGAGTGCGAGCGTGGAGGATAGGGTTGGCGAAGGGGCATGCCTGTCCCTACCACTCTGGCTTAAGGGACTTGCCCTGTTGCGGCGCTAATAAACGTATTACTTTGATCGCACAACTGTGGCATTGTGTCTCTGAGGTCGCTCTACGGAGATTATAGGTTTTCGATACGGTGTCTTCCACAGACTGAAACTTCTTGCGTTTAGCTTACGCTACAATAGTTAGTTGTAAGATTACCTCCCATGCACAAGGAGAGAAAGCTGCAGGCGGGTGGGCAAGCGTGTAGAATATATATGGTTTGTGAAAGCACCATGGTGTGGGCAAATCTGGCTCGAAGAGGGCTGGCTGTGCAGTTTCGGCGCTACTTAATAGTTTCTTATGCGAAACTTCCTACCGAAACTCCAGTGGGCAACTGTGGCTATGCGACCGTTCATATGACATTTCAAGAACGGCAGACGTTCAGTGGAATATGCAGGCTGGCAGATGTGGGGGTGCCAACATCCCCTATGAAGTTGTTTGTGCTGCGTGGCGCACATGTCTCGCCCAAAAGCCGCATTTCGGGTTACGACTACCAGGTGGCAAGTGGCGTTGTGTTCGCGAGCGTTGATCACCACTATCATCATCATCTCAGTATAGCGCCGGCGGTGGCAAGCCTTGGTAGCGGCGAGCGAGAAATAAGCTGGTCTCTTCAGCGCGTGGCGGTTGTCGCGAACGGTTGTCTCTAGCGTGGGTCCCCTGTGCGTGGCACCGTGGGTTGCGCGTCGGGGGCCCTCGTGGTGGTGATGCCGCTTTGAGTGTGTTATTGTGTTTGTCATGTTTCGGAGCGTATGGTAATATTGTGTAAGGATGACCTAGCATGTTGATCATGATTGGTGTTATAATTATTCGGCTGACGATATAGTCGTTTTAAATTAGGCAAATAAATGTATGTTGCTAGGTTTGTACCAACCGCGTCTGCTGCGTCCGTTCACTCCAAGAGCGTGGTGGTGGCACTCGCCAATTCGAGACCCCTCAAAGAAATGAAGAAATGCTTATGTCAGAAGGTTTCAGCGAGCGGACTCCTCCTCTTCGAGGCAATAACTGTCTTGCACCTGCAGCCTCAAATAAAAATGAAGACCTGTCGGTGCGTGTGAAGTCTTTGTCTTCTATAAACAGTTTTGTCTTGCCCAGGGACGTTGAAACTTCCCTTTTGAGCAGCGTGAATTGGGCCAGTAGCAGGTCCGTACCCAGGAATTTTTTTCCAGAAGTGTATCTTTGTAGAACAACTAGCTTTGGCAAAACTGGTCGATACGAAGGCGTGTGAGTGTACAGTAAAGATTTCGTGTGATGTCAGAACTGCTTCACTACCCCCATAGTTAAGGAGACAGCCAGAGAAAGTGACCAGAGAAAGCATTTAAATTAACTTCTTTAATTACTGGAGACTAGTAGTTGGGTCAAATGGGAAATCTGAAGCCTTTACTGCGAAGAGTGGAATATCGCTTGGAGATTACAAGTAAGTAGCTTCCGTTAATTATTGCAGATTAATGAAATTTGACCGAATTCACAAACGAAACCCGAAAACGAAGCGTTTACGAGCGCGACCCGCGGACGGCCGGAACGACGCCACTCTTCACGACATCGATTGCGGTTACGTGCTCTGCCGTTGTTAACGTGTGCCTCTAAACGCAGTCGACACACCCACGAAGTGACCCTCGCCCATCGTGGGTGTGTCGGAATAACACGGCAGTTCCAATCTATCGCGTTTATGTTTCGCAAATTAAATCGCCAACGGAAGCTCCCTGGAAGTGGCAGACGACTCTTCGCAGGAGGGGCTTCTATTTAATTCATAGGGTGCCTTAACAGATGACTCTAGCCATGTTATGATGACGTCCACCTCGGCAGAAAGATTTAGCTCAGCTTGTACTGGCTCGCTCAAGGCTGCGTCACAGCAGAGCTGATGAACGCCTGGCTCCATGATTCCGACTCGGCTTGGCGTTCACACTCTCTCTTGTCGTTTCCTACCTCTCGCTGTGGCATGCACTACACATGGCTGTGCTTGCTTTCCATATTTTGTTTTTTTCCCTGAAGTATGTCTTGTCCTCCACTCTCTCTCCACGCCTGCAGACAAATGTCGACCATAACAACGCAACTGTAAAACTCTTATAGCGCACATGTGGCACAGAAAATGGGCCAATCTATATATACTCGCTACACTGGTCCACTAAAGGGCACACACGGGTGGATAACACGGATAAGGTGCTGCACGTTGCAGGCTCTTTCGCTAACAATTTGTGCCGAGGGCTTGGAGGACGATTGAGCACGTGCACAATGGTGGTCATATGACACACCTACGAACTACCACAAACCTCGAGCATAACAGGTCTGTTGTGTAAGAAAGCATTGACCAAATATTTTGTTTTATCCATTTCTGTCGATTCTATGGCGTTCATTGTCATGGCATTCGTTCATCGTTAACGGAGAGCAGTTTCATTTACATAACAATCGCCTGGTTGCTTAGTAGAGTCTTCGGATGTAGGAATATCACCAGATCGTTGACGGCCGTCGACATACAGAACCTACTTTGCGGTGCCTCCGGTTTCCGTTGTAGGGGTGGCCCTGAGGAAAAGTAAGGTGCGTTACGTGGGGTAATCGCGTGATCTGAACGCTATAGAAGTCGCTACACAGTTGGTGGGCACCCTGGGAATAAGTATGCGTACCTTGCTTGCCACCACTATAATATCTCCACATAGAGTCCTGAATGATTGTTCTGGGAAAAGCAGTCACAATATTATACAACGTTTAAGTATTCACAATATTATGCTATGCGCAAAATACCTTACGTATACGGGAATACCGGACGTGAACTACGCATGCACACACCCGGTAAAAACATGGCCGCAACGATGAAAGCAGTTCCCGCCCACCTCGAATTCAGCAAGCAAATATCGTGCGCTCTGAATTTAAATGCGAAGCATTTCTTAGCGAACTTCGGCGACTATGGTCGTATCTGTCTGTCTACCTAGCGGCCTATGACTTTTGGCTCTCAAGGCCGTTTGGATAATGGGATATATACTACAATTAATCTGGCTTAACATGACTGTACGACGAGCAAAAGTGACTAGTCATAACATAATTTACAGTGGCAGATCCCACTGTAAGTGGGATCTGCCACTTTTTTATTTGCTTTAGATCCAGGCCCTTTAAGCTATGACAGCAAAAAAAATTGTGTCAATTCGGCACCATTTTCAAAAGCCGTACTCAAATAATCTATCCCGTAACCGTCGCGAGTGCTGAGGAACGCTGGAGAAATCTCAGAGGACATGTATTACGTGCTTGTTGTTTTTTATTCCCCGTAGCTAGCGCCGCTTGACGTGGCGGCAGCCACGGCAGACTATCTGGTATTACGCTACGCCTCTGCGATGCCGAAATACCGGTATTCTCCCGGGACGGTACTATACGTGCTTTGAATGTAGCAACACCCACGCACAGGGCGGTGGTGGAAGAAAAGATCAGCTCCCCATTTTCCCTCAGTCGGAAAACCGTCTCTTCATTGTTAAACGACGGTGATGGGCATGCAGCTCTTTTTTAGCACAATGAAGATTGAGTAGCTATGATGTCGTATTGCGAGAAAGGTTTACTTCAATTTTTTCCCCCGAAAAGACGAGTACCAACGGCCGTACGTTGTGAGCAGCATGTATGTGCTTAATTTTTATTGTTGCAGCCACCATCGTAAAATATTATTCAGTTTGGGAATCGATCAATGAGGGGGCACGGCAGGTCTGGAGGCGCGCACTTGCTGTCAAATGTTAGCTTCTTTACTACACATTTTGCATCACTTGTTGCACAAATACATAGCAAGTGAAGCTAGATTTACGAAACAAAGGCGAACACAGTAGTACAAGTGAGACTAAGAATAAAAATGCATTATATAGCCGTGACTTAAATCCCCTTTTTTTAGAGAGAAACCGGCAAATCACCTTTGCACTAACATTGGCGCATTCATGCGCAACTCTTCGAGCGACACATTGCAGACTACCTACCACAGCGCCACAAGCGAAATTACTTTGGGTTTCACTTTTCTAAGCTCGTTCCGGGCACTCCTCTGTTCTAGTACTCTAACCTAACGCTCCAGCACCGCTGGTGGAACGTGATTTGTTTAAGTGCGATGCCTACTGCGTAGGCGCGCCCAGACACCCCGCTCGCTTCCAGTAAACGCTTGAGCAGTGGAGGAACAGGGGCCCGTAAAGAGAAAAAAGAAGAAAAAAAGACCATCTCCTAAAACAGGGATCTATGTGGGGATGCGAAGCGACGCTGACCGCGTGTGTGCGCCGCAAAGTGAACAGCCAGCGCTGCTGGGAGAGTGCAACGGTGCAAGCGCGCGCAGCATTATATACGAGTGCACAGCTGTGGCGGAGAAATAAACAGCAGATGAAAAACGAAACGGAGGCAGCAAGCACTCTGCAACTTTTTCCACCACACCTCCCCGAGCCTGCTCGCGTGAGCGCGAGGAGAGAGCCCTCGGCGGTCTCCGGCCACTCCCCCACTTCGCATGCGCCAACTTTCCCTCTCCTCGCGAGGAGGGGGAGAGTGTTGGAGCATGCGCAGTAAGGGTGGTCACGCCGCACACCAGATTGAGCTCCACCATAAGCTGCTTCACATCTAAAAAAGAAAAACAGTTAGCCATGCATGCCCCTGCAAGACTTCGCGTGGCTACACCTACCGTTAGCGGGAGTGTTGCGATTTTTTTCTTTTTTTGCTATCACCGTAATCTGGGACATCACGCAAGACGCGCTCCTCATTCGGATTACTGTGGGAGGTGTCAAGCCGCAGAGCGCAGAACGCCAGTGACCGTCACCCTTTTGTAGTTTCGCCCTTGGCGGTTTCACCCCTGGTACCTTGCTTCTGCACCGCAGCCCTGGCGAAATACGAGGATAGCGTGAGCGCCACCACACTGGCTATGATGCCGAGCACCAGAAACCACCAGACG